TACATGAAAGATACCATAATTCAGAACTAAAGACCTGCAGAATTAGGAAGATGGGAAGCAGAATGGTGGACATTTCTTTGAGTACTGTATGATTTACTTTAGCCCAGGGCTGGAAGGATAACTTAAAGTGACTGGATAGTTTGGTTTCAGTGGTCCAGCCAATAACTGTTCCCCTGCTAAGGCCAGTGGTAAAGACAACAAATAGCATCAGCTGACTTGGGGGAAAGGGGGGCGGGAAAGAATGGCAAGCATTGCTTTCATTAAAAAAAAGAACTATGTTGTTACTCATGTTACTTCTTGGGAAAGAGATTAATTATTTTAAAAATATGATTACAAACTATCAGATTATCTCATTATTGCTTTCATATAATTAAAAGTTTCAGATATGGATTATTCCATGATATTATATAAGGAATGCAAATAAGTTGATGGAAATAAATTTTAAAATAATATATTGATGCCATACTTTTAAAAGCTTAGTGTGGAAAAGATGTTTTGTAGGTTTATATATGGCCCAAAAATGCCATGTGGGGTTGCCCACCAGTACACACATAAAAGTGTTGCTTAAGGTATTTCTTGATAGTCAGATAGAATACGATTCTGATGCAACAGACTTTTTCAAGATAAAAACCTGTAGGCCAGTAATTCTAGTTAGAACATCTACTGAATTTTACGACTAGGACTTGTAAAAGAAGAAAGTTTAGCTACAAACTTAATATAATAGCTTCAGAAAATGTGACTTTGAAAAGTTGTTGCAGGAATAATACAGACTCAAAAAAATCTTATTAACATATTATACTTGAGAAACTGATCAAAGACAGTATTATAAAATTCCCTGTAGCAATACCGCTAGGGCCATAAATGCACTTGGAATTCATTACTGTTATTTCATAATGCCAAAACAGAAAAGGAAATTCATCATGATTGGACTCTGTTAGGTTTTTATTATTGTAAATATGGTAGCAGTGAAGATGAATGGTACTATAGCAGTATTAAATCATATTTGATAGCTGTTTCTTAGAGTAAATTGTAAAAACATTGCATTTTCAGAAGCACTGGCCCCCCAAAAAACTCCCACAACCAACCAAACTCACCAAACCCTAAAGATAACGTTTAAAAAAATGTATTTGTATTTGTCCTTGGAAGAGAGAACCAGAAAAAAAATTTAAGAAAATGATACATGAAATAGGTTCAAATTTAAGCTAACTTTATTTCTCACAGATAGAAGGAATTTGTAAGCTATGTGCATTCTTCCATGACACAAAGGTCTGTAGTTGGAAGAACATCTTTATTTTGCCACTGGGTTATTTTATAGTAGTGTATAGTGTATAGTATTTTACTTCAGTAGTAAGTGCCAAAGGGTCAAACATACAAAAAACAAACCCATCTAAACTTGTATTTCGTCAAAGTGGGGTTTAGAATCAGTTTATACTGCTGCGAATTAACCTTTTAATAGATATTCTGCACTTGAGATCCCACGAATTCATTATTTTGTCATCTTTTGATTAAAATTATGTCAGTTTATAAAAATCAAATTTATTTTAAAAAGCAGCATCTAATATAACATTCAGATATGCCAAGTTTCAGTCCTCTACAGTTATTACTTATGATATCCCAAATATAAAATATTTTAAAGAATCTAACAATATAGGATTCTACTAGCTATTAGATGTGATTTCTAAATACAGTATGAGTTCACTTAAAACATCAGATTTCTAAGTCTGAGATTGTGTTAATTACAAATAAGTAGCAAGAGTTAAAAAATTCTCTGACTACATGAATAAATCTAAATGAGTATAATTAGATCTAAGCAAAGGTTATGTTGTTTTTTTTATTTATAGCCATTTTATAGCACTTTCCTAAAGAAGAAAAAAAGGGTCAGTTTGATGGTTTTACTAACGTGTTTCTTTTCTTAGGCAAAACCCATCTTTTTTGTTACTTAGGCAAACATAGTTATTCACCAGTACTCCTGATTCTCCGATAATAAGATTGTGTGTAGGTATCTATTCACAAGTCACATGGCCAAAGGAACTATGAAGCTGTGTTTTCATTAAGTTAGTTTATATTCACATGGGTGCACCAAATTTAGCCAGGCCTGCATTAAGTCCCAGTGAGCCTGAAGGGATAAATACATTATGCTACTTTTAACCCACAGATTTCTTCATTTAGATGCATGTTCACCCAATGAATGCACTCAACTAACTTTTAGTGGCAGGCTGGAAAGAAATTTTGTAATATAGAAATTATAGTAACTTCCAGTAACTCTGACAGCAGCTCTTAGGAAGAAGCTTTATCAATAGGTCCATATTCCAAGAAGATAGCTCCCAAGAGTACAGAGGGGCAGTGATCAACTGCAAGTAGTTTAGTTAACAGCCTAAGGAGAGATTAGTGAACTCCAACCTTTGTTACACAAGTTTGTCAAAGTAAAAGAGTTTTTACTCTTTACAAAGATTTGAAGTGCATTCTAAACTGTTTATACTTCTGTTGTTTTGAAAAACAAGTACCCATATGTCTTTTTAAAATGGAATTGGTACAACAAAATTGCTTGTATTTAATAGTGTATGTCTTACCGGCATCCTATCAGAAACTCAACTCTAAAGCCAATATGCAACATGGAAGCAAGAAGAGGACAAAACCCAAGATACCTGGTCATCAAGAAGAACACAACAGAAAAGGCACTCCCTTGTGGATTAAAGTATTATGGATAACATAACAGGATCTCTAGAAACCTGTCCTGAGGCAAAATGCCTTCAGAAACGGGATAGAAGCTGTGAAACCAAGGATGTTTGTATTTGTATGAATATGAATCCTGCATGTCTTTGCAGCAGCCCTTCTTCCTGTATGGAACCTGCAACATCTTTTAGCCTTATCTTTTATTTCCCCATAAACCCTCCACAGTACACTAAGCTTTTTTCCTGCTATGCTCCTTCCTTACTGCTTGGGCAAGAACATTTCAGGCTATGGCTAATTGCAACTGCACACATGCTGACCATATGGCCAGCCTGAGGACAAAACTAGACCAAGTAACTGTTGATCTCTAACTAAAGTCTTTTTCTCATGTGGAATTTTGCCTTCTACCGAACTGCTGATTTTTCCAGAAGTGGTAGAGTTTTATTTGAGGCACATATGCTCCAGTTAAAATCAGTTTAAGTAAGCTAGTAGATTCAAAAGTTATTAGGGACCACAAATAACCAAAAAGACAGCATACCGAAGTAAGTTTTACATCCACAGGAATCCAGGCTTTTGAGGGATAAGGAGAAAGATCCTGTGTAGGCCTTTATCAGTATTTTCTGATATGGTTAACAAGATCAGCTGTACTGTGACTTGGCTCTGACAAAGCTTGCAAGCCTTCATCTTGGTAATTGGCAATAATGAGATATGCCAGTTGTTACCCAACCAGAACTGGCTGCCTAAGGGCATGGGTCAGATAGTCTAACGGAGTGTAGTGTAACTAAAAATCTCTAAACTCATCATGGGGTTTTAAGTGTTAATATGTAAGCTCTTTTTAAATTTAGCTTATGAAGAAAACCTTCAGAGTGATGAAGCTGAGTGTACAACTGGCAGGACGATTAGTTTGTTAAAATGAATTTGTGCAACGGTTAAAAAAAATACTCTGCATTTTCATGTTAGCATTAATTATTAGTTTGACTAAAATGTAGGCTAATACTTTCAAGCTTTCAAACCCCATATTTAAGCATGTATGAATACAGAAGTGCTACAGAATATCAGGATATGTTTTTGCAGCTATCTGGTTTGTATTTCAGGACATCTTCTTTCTCTTCATTTTTTTAGGGTGGAATTAACAGTCCTGAGCACAGTATTCAAGGTGAGAGCATTATCATTGATTTAGGACCTTAACATGTCAGCATTTTTCCCCCTAAATTATTGCTATTATTTAAATTAATGTTATACAGAATACAGTTTCCCCAGTGAGCTACAGGAAACTTTTTTTTAAAGTTTGAGTTTAATTTGAAATAAGACTTAAATGACAGATGCAGATGACTGCCACCATTGGGAAGGGGTCAGAATGGCGCAACTTACAGATGTGCATACTCTGATCATGTTTTGGCTTGCAAGTGTGGGATTTTTTGCCTAAGCAAGAAGTGCGTCCATTATGAGATCATGGTGATAAGATTTAACAGTCATAAGTTAGACTGATAGATCACTTAGTATAGTCACCTGTGTCTTCTGCGAGCCACTAGTACATACCTAGGAAGGCAGCATAAAACCCAGGACATTCTTTACATTAGGCACTGCTTGGACCAGGGCGTAATGGATTGTTCTTTTTTTGTCTACTTTGTTTTTGGACTCATGTAAACTGTGGCATCTGCAACATCTCATGTGACTAAACACCTAGTTAAACTAGAAGTTGCATGAAGCACTGCTTCTTTCCATTTATTTTCACCCTGTTACGTAATGATTCTTTGATACCTTGCAGTTCTTCACCACGTGAAAGGATGCAGCCATTCCCTCTCTTCCTTCCTCATGCTACTCATGATTTTATAGATGCCTGTTAGCCTGCTAGATGTAGTGCACAACTCCAGAAAAATACATCCTGTGTTTACTGAATATTATGTTGATCCTTTTTCATGTGGCTACAAGATTCTACTTAGGTATTTCATGGTCACTGTTGTTTCTTAACACATAATTGCTAAGGAACTGGTAGAAAAAGTAAATCATTAGAAGCTTATGCTATTTCACAAACTGATGATATTGCACCCAGTGATTTTTCAGATTGGGCAAGATATAGCCAACTGTTCAAATCCAATTTGCATGGGACAGAAGAAAGGAAAAAAGAATGCAGTTGCAATGTTTGTAATAAATATGCAATCTGTAAAGAAAGAAGAGAAAGTTACGGGTTTTTGGCTTGTAAACTGAAGACACTATTCAAAACCAGTCCCATTTCACTCTGTAGACTTCTTTCCAACTCTTTAGGTTGCTGAGAAGTATATATACAGACAGACCATGCCATGTGTATTCTCATTATGAAGTTATCTTACCTGACCCATTTTTCAGGTATCCATTTGCATCTACAGTAGTGTACATGATGTAAGGACCAGGCTGATTAACACCAAAAGGCTACAAGGGGGTGGGGGAAGAAAAAAAGCAGGCAAAATTTTAGGAACAGACAAAGCTATAGTAATAAAACCAAATAAAAATGTTTCTAGATTAATGATTTCCTTTTGATATGGATAATTTAGAAATCTTGCAACTGTTTTGGTCATAGCATTGTGTGGAAACTAATTTTCAAAATAAGGCTAATCAGTTGGGTAAGTAATATTTAGTTTCTCATGAAAAAAGCAATACTATTCAGTCTTCTGGCAAAAGGTTTACTGTTTCCTTGGAAGTTACAAGTAAAATAAAAAACCCCTAAAAATTCAAAGAAATAACTGCATGTTCTGAAAAAGCAGAACTCATTTGATATTGTCTGACAGAATGCACTATCTTTGGTCTTTCTGAATTGAAAAATACTATACAAATTCAAAATTTTGTTATCATTATTTTGCACCGTTTAATTCATGAAAGTGGTTCAATAGTTACTTGTTGAGTACCAATATCTATTTTAAGCAAATTCTCTTGAGGGAGAAAACGTACTTAAACATCAAAGTACAGTTATGGGGAAAAAAATCAAATTAAAAAAAAAAAAAAATCAAAGGGAGTTGTGAATTACTGAGTAATGAACCGTAACAAATGCACCTAAGAAAGAAAGGGGCGGGAACAATTACCTGCTATGGTGAGAAAGGAGAGGAAGGGGGGGAACTGAATAGATTTTAAAGAAAGTTTTCTTTTTTTTTAAATGCTGAATTCAAGCTGATATTGGGGCATCAAATCCAGTAAAGATCTTCAAATGAGTTACAGAAAGAACTCTAAAAGAAGAGATGATGACACATTTCACATCATGCCTCAAAAAATAGTAAGTCCTAAACTGTAAGAGTAAGTGATAATGATGAGAGATGAGACCAAAGCCTGAAAAATAATAATTAATTAGAATGGAGAGCAAGGAGACCGCAAAGGTGATGTTAATGCAGATCTATGAAAGATGAGTAAATAAGGTGAAAATCTGATTTCCCCCCCTCCCCCCCACCAATTAGCTGTATTCTGGTATAATGTACTTTATGTTACTTTCTGACAGAGAACAACTTTTACAGTGGAGGCAATGATCTTGAAAATGAAACATTCACCAACATCTGTTGTGAAGATTTGCTTTTTAAACCCTCTCTTTAGTTTTGTAATTAATCTAATAATACTATCAAAGCCCCTTAATATTTTATATCAGAAATTAAACCCTACGTCTTAAAATAGGCTTGAAGAAAAAGTTGGTCACATTTGAAGCAGTTTTTGTATTTTCAAATTAAAATTAAATTTCATATTTTTGCAGAGCTAAAGTGCTAATGCTAGCTTTGATTCCTCTAAGTTCCTCTTTTAGGCCAACTTCCACCGTGAACATTGCTAAACAATTTGCTAATTGAAAGTTTGGTGGGTGAGTTGCAGGATCTCTGGAGATGACTAAAATAATTGAAATAGAAATCAGCACATGTATATGTAGCTATCTGCAGAATCATCAGAACCAAGTATATTTCCTTCCCTTCTATCCCTCATTGTAGCCACTTACTGTATTTTAGGCTAGAAGTGGCTATATGGCTGCATCTGTCCCGTAATCAGTTTTGCCTGGCCTTTCTGACTGCCCAGAACAAGACTTGGCACACTACACAGTTTGGGCATCCAGCTGTATTACACAAGTTTTTCTTGCATCTGGGATATCCCAGCCCCCACAACGCTGGGTAACAAACACTGCAGAATCAGTCAACTGATTTCGTCTCTGAGCAGGCAGCTAGTGAAAGCTGGGTCTCAAATATGCAGAACTTGGTCAGTCATGATTTGGATTACACATTCTTCCAGTCAATAACTTTCTTAATATGTGGAAAGTTTTTGGTATAATTAGACCTCAGCTTATTTGAAGCTAAATAGTAATGCAAAGTTATAGTTATACTTACTGTTATTTTCCGAGGACAGTCATTAGAACAGAGGCCACTGAGAACTGCAAAAACAAAAAGTGAGCTTGTAGTGTTTATGTTAACAAGTTATCTTACAAGCACTAACTCTGAAATCTGTTAAAGGATAGTAATAATGTCAGGTATCCATTAAAACACATGAAGAAAATAAATGTCTTCTGTATGACTTATGTTTGAAGTATACTTCTTTGCAGAAATTAATCAGCTAGTCACTGTTTTATCATACCTCATTGGTTAACCAGCTTCAAAAGGAGAGAGTTGCCAGTTAAAAAAATTCCAAATTAAAACATTTTTAAAATAGTGGACTGTACATTTTATTCATTATTTTTCATTTCTAACCATTTAAAAACATTGGCAGAGATTCAGCTTTACTGTTTTAACTGTGGTAAAAAGGTAAGTCAGTCTTTTCCTTCTATATAAGGGATAGTTTTACAACGTGATTTAAAGCAAGTCACAAAAGATGTATAAAACAAAAATCCCATTACCTATTTCATCTATGAATTCGAAAATATTATAAGCAGATGTGTATAATGCTACTTAATATCTAAAGACTGTGACAGTTGTTCAATTACTTGTTTAAAACTTACTAGTTTCAAAAATCAGTTAAATTACGGAACTATCTGTTAAACACTTATTTATAATGAACTAAGTGATGGACAAAGAAACCTATCTGTTCTATAATCTAGAACACCCTGTCACACTGAGTATTACAACATCAGTACTAAAATGCCTTTAAAACAAACAAAAAACACAAACACACACACACACAAAATCTAAGGTGTCATTTTGATGCAACATTCGGACTTCAAATGACAACAGTTTGGTTGAGCAACAACCCAATAATGGCTATGAGCAGGGAAGAGGATACAGACCAGGCAGTATCAAAGCCAAGTAAAAATGTAACTTCTCCATGAGTTACAGTATCCCAAAGCAAGTGTGGCACACAGCGAAAATTAAGATTTGGACGAGATTTGAGGGCAGGCCATCCTAACCACTGAGATTTTTAAAAAACATTTTCTGTCTACTTCTACTGGAGTCAGAAATGGCACCGTTCTAGTGAAGGTACATTTCTAATATTTTTTGTGCAAATATTAACAACTGTCATGATTCCCAAGTTATCATTCTTTGCTTGCGATTTAAAGATGTTGAAATTTCCAAATACAGAAAAATCTATTATTTTTTATACAGTCAAAAAAAAAATATCTGGACAGATAAGATGAAGGTGTGGCAAAGCAGAATTTGAAGACTGTGTGTATCTACAAACAGACTTTTTAAGCTACAAGCTTATTTTACGTGTTATACATAGGTGTGTATGCAAGTGGAACCAACTCTTCCCATTTTGATGCAAAACAGCACACTGCAATTTGCTGTTCAGACTCACTATTGGAATAAATAATCCAACCAAGTATATTCGACATCAGTTATAATAAGCTATAATAAAACCATTGTCATTGTCCATATGCCAAATAAGTGAACATGATGCATTTATTGATACACTAACTTGCACAAAGGCATGTTTTGTTATAAATACTCTCCCCTGTATCACAGTAAAAATATTTTTAGACCACTCATTAATACACATTTCCTGGAATTTCTATGCAAAAATACTCACACCCTAGAAAGGTGCTAAAAAAAGACTTGCTCCAATTTTTAAGATAGATTTACACAGACAGAATCAAAAAGCATGTTGCAAATTACTCCTTTCCCCATTAAAATATCACACAATTTTAATTCTAGTATGGCTTTGTGAAGTGTAAGATTTTTCTAGAGGATTTTCTGCATGCTTGTGTGGATTACACTACCCATATACAGTATTATTTAAAAGAAGGCTTCCATCAACATGACAAATCATTATAGGGTATTACGATGAGAATAAAGCTCAGGCTGAGGAGAAAGTAATAAATGCATCAGCCCCCAGTAGTAGCTGCAGTTCTGTTTACCTTATGGCATGCAAAAGGTGTGCTTTAGAAGGATTAGATGCATTTAAATAACATGAAGGCAAATACAATTTTTGAAGGTGAACCTCTAGCTGTTCCTGTTTAGCTTTGTCCTCATAAGCTCATGCACAGCCTCATTTTTCACTCGTGCTCAAAAAATCAAGACAGACAAAGCTCAACACCTTTGCAGTCTGGAAGAACATGGTAGGGCATGCAATTTGAACCTAATTACTCTCAATTACAAATATCATAATCTAACTCTAGCCTTTTAAACCAAGGCTCTAATTAATTCACACACACACCCTTGCCACATTCATTGCCATTCTACGCTTTTACGGTAGGATGTATTTTGTGCCATGTAGTGCTTTTACGCTGAAACACCAAACTGACTCACACATGGACACAAACTGGCTCTCAGAATAGATCACACAGCGTAAGTAAAACATACACCATGCCAGTCATCACTGAAATGAAACCAGCCCATTTTGCACTAGATTCTGCATCATTTCCAGATGACATAGAAAAGAACTCCAGTAAAATAGGCTTGATATGACAGAGGTACAGCAAAAGACAGAAGTCGCTGTTGGAAAGAAAATATTGCAACCACTCAAGGCACAGATGAAAGTAAGTGCACCTGGCTATTGTTTCTTAACTAGGTTTCTGAAAATAGGCAAGATAAAAAGGCAGTCATTGTGGACAAACAGAGCCTGTTCCTTCAAGTCAATATTGCTGTAATTTCTTTGGTTTCTTTCTGTCTCACTATGGCATACATATTTATATGTGCAAGTATAATTATATATTTCCTCAAATTCGTGATTTATAAGCTAATCTTCCTTCAAATTTTAAACAGCATCACACATCAAAAAAAAAAATCTAAGCTGAATGATAGATATGTGTAGATCTAATGCCATTTTTATATTGACAACATTATGTTATGTGAGGAGATAAGTGAAGGTATTGTACAAAAGACTCAAAGAAGGGGTCTCATAAGTTCAGCTAATCCAACCCCTTCCCTCAAAAACGATTAAATATACTACATAATTTCTTAAACTAATTGTCAGGACCTCTAATGTTGGTAACTCTGCAGCTTCTCCAGGAACTTATGTTAGTACTTCAGAAGCCATCATTTAGGAAATTATTCTTACTCTGCTCTTCGTAGTTTGTTACTTTATGTTGTGTTCTGCATGGACACACAGAACTCTCTTCCCACATTGTTATGCATCATTATGGATTGAAGACGTGGATCTTCCTCACATTTCTCTTTTAGGCTGAATAACTTGGTGTCATGTGCTCTTTGCCTGCAGATCGTATTTTTAGACACTTGATAATTCTTGCTTTTCCTCCAGAAGCCAGCTGAGAAATGAGTTTTTAAAGACCTAGTATCTGTCTTTAGAATTTTGCTAGGATGTAGAAGGAAAGGTCCAGGATGAAAGGAAAGATTTAGCCTGCCTCTAGTTAATGACTGAAATAAGACACGCATTCTGGTAAAAACAAACAAACAAACAACAAAACAAAACAAAAACCCCCCACACTCAGGAGATGATAAACACTTATTTAAAGGTCATTGTGGTCAACATTGATATTAAAAACAGCTAAAGTGTTGAAAATAGTGGGCATAATTACTTTGAATTTTAATAAGTACACTAAAATAAAAACAAGAAAAAACCCTTTGAAATGAAACAAAACCAACTTATCCAAGTTCAGATTCTGCAACAAGAGATTTCTGCAATTCCTAATATTTTTCACGCTGTGTTTTTTCTTTTCTAGAATTATCATACACAGAGCATTATCATATAATCATATCATATAACAACATTATCATATACAGAGGCTCAAATATTCACATTTCTCTCGAGGTCCCATTCTGACTTCATTATACAGTGATAGCTTACCAATAACTTTAACAAAATAGGCATCTGCTTCAAAGTTATTTTTTAATGCATGGATAGCAAAGTCCTTGTTGGAGTAGCCTTTGCTTAGCACAATGATATCCAAGATTCCCTAGAGGAAAAAAGAAAGTTTACGTTAGAATGCTGATTTACTCTAGATAACATCTAAATTCTGCAAACAAATTCCCTTAGAGATACAAAGGAAAAAAATAGAGTGTGTGCAGCAAAGTTTATACCTTCGCTGCTAATTTTAATATCTTTCAAATCTTATTAATCTATGGCAATTTAGGACAGAGCGCTCCATCCACAGCTAACCAGGACAATGCATGTGGTCCATGGCTTCTTTCTTGCCACTGAAGAGGGCAGCTCAAATGGAGCATATGGAAGGTCAGCAAACTTTTAGGCAGTGATGGGCTGCTGCTATCTGCTCACCTTCCAGGGAGCATCTCAAGAGCGAATTTCCCAGGCTGAAGGTACTGCCTACCGTGTGCTGTAAAGCCAATGTTTCTACAAAGCAGTCTGCCAACGGCACACAGACAGATAGAGCAACACAGAAAGAGAGATGCTGTTTGCTGTAGTAAAGAGTTGAACTTACGTCTTCGTATATGTCAAAGAAGGTTGCTACCACTGCATCCTTGATTTGATTTAGATCCGAGAGCTCCCAAAAAACTTTAAACATACGACGTACACTCTTGCAGCTTACGTTATTGCATGGGACATTTTCTAGTAAAAATGCTTGTTGATTGCTGTAAAACATATATATATATAAAAAAAACCAACTTATGCTATAAGCAGTCTAAATAATGGATGTTACAAAAATATTGTCATTAAATAATTTAAGTCTGCTGAAGTTAAGTATAATAAAAACAACGCTAGCAGCCACTGGATACTTTAAAATCCATAAGCATTTATGTTAACTTTACAGACAGAATTACAACCACTATGTCATGTCTGACAAACCAATGAATACACTAAATAAATGTGTCCAAAAGCAGTCTAAATAATGGATGTTACAAAAATATTGTCATTAAATAATTTAAGTCTGCTGAAGTTAAGTATAATAAAAACAACGCTAGCAGCCACTGGATACTTTAAAATCCATAAGCATTTATGTTAACTTTACAGACAGAATTACAACCACTATGTCATGTCTGACAAACCAATGAATACACTAAATAAATGTGTCCAAATCAGCAAACTGAACATATTCTTACTTTATTCCTAAACAAGCACAAGTGCACTTATCTGCCATTTTCCTTAATCCCCCCACGGTCCTTCAGCTTAAACAGTACTTAAAAAGTGTCAGTGCTTTTTCATTATTTTATGACAATGTCTTCCCACCCCAGCTGCATTAATAAATTTTCTTACACATCGCATGATGTTTTAAACAAATTTAAGATTAAACCAAATCTCTAGTGGTATTTTCCGATTGTTTCAAAGCAAAATAGAAAACACAAAACCCAACCTACTAGCACAGTAAAAATAGGACAAGACAAACCAAATTGGACATTTGCTGATATATAACAAATACAGACAGAAAGATAGGCTGTAATACTGAAACAAGAAACAAACAAACAAACCTGAGTACCAGGTCTGGTATACCAAAATCTCCCTTCTAAAGAATTTATCTAATACATGCCCATTGGTCAGTGGGAGACACAAGGTTCATACATGCATGCTGATGACCAATAGTATTATACGCTGTCTCTGATACTGTAACATTGCCACTCTCATTGGAACAGTGAAAACCTTCAGACTTCACCAAACTGGAGTCTGATTCTTTGGCAAGTCTGTATCCTGGGAGCCTGCTAGAATCCATCACTGCCTTGGCAATGGAAACAGATGAAGTTTCCTCCTCTCTTTCTGGGGGCAGAGCCAGAAGATGGAGCAGACAATGTTCTGTAAAGCTAGCTAAGCATGTCAGAGCCCAGGGCAATAACCTAAAACACTTCTTCGTTATGACCTTGAACATACTGCTGTTTCAGAGGGTGACAACAAGGTGTTTTTCTGTATCTTAACAGCATCCAGTGCCTCCAGGATGCTGTCACACACAAGCATTTCTCCTTAGGAAAGTTTTTATTTTTCTTTGTTTCTGTGGTATATTTCAGATAATTTGCTACTCACAAGAATCATATCCCCCAACATTCGTATTTCTGCTCCATCCATTTCAGAAAGAATTAGAGAAGGGCAAAACATTTACCCCAAGAAAAAACATTTCTGACACCAAAGTAAATCAATTTCCTTGCTTGTTGCCAAGTTAATATTTCAGAACCTGCAATGGGAAAACTGTAGGATTTTGTTCTCTGTAAGATGTGTCAAAAGTAAAATGGGATACTTATAAACACTTCCCTCAAACCCCTCTAATCACATTTCTTGTGCTTCTGTGAAAAATACACAAGTTAAGCCTTTATTTTTCTGCCATATGCCTGCATTTGATTGAAGCTTAATATGAACAACCCACTTTTCCCTATTTCGCTGTTAGAAGCATGAGTATATTGAATTAATGTCCAGCCAAAATGAAATAAGGTGATCTGCAATATTTAAGACATTGTATTACCTGTATCTGAGAACTCATCATCGTAACTTGAAATTGTTATGTGCTCACATTCATTTCATGTATTACATAAGGATCATTATCAGATTAACCAACTATAATGCAAGGTGACAACCTGAGCTAAGCGAATTGTTTCAATTTCTCTTTTTCATCATCTTGACATGAACTTTTTTTTTAAATTGGAGGAAGTTCTACTAAGATGCTTTCTTTCAATTCACATTTTTTAAGTTGCCAGAAATTATCAGATGATAATTGTTTAAAAGACAAAAGATTGTCAAGCTTGCATTATACTCTACGTACAGAGTATTGTTCAAGTCTAAACTACAAGCCTTGTGAATGGATAGACACAAGAAGTTTATTTACTACAGGAACCTTTTTTCCTTTCCTTGATAGTGTGCATTTAATGACTTTCAAAACATCACAATTTAATGACTTTCAAAACATCACAAACTGGACAAACAATAACATAACACCAATTGTGAGAAAAAAGGAAGATATTAATCAAAGTGGCACTGAGCAGGGAAATGCCACTTTCCTTCGCCCTTCTGTATCAGCAAGAGAAACACAAGACAAACAACAGGAAGAAAAAAACCATCCCAAATCCTAAACACATCCTGAAGACTGAGAAGTGCACTGTAGGAGAGCTATCATGCAGAAGGAAAAAAGTGAATAAATTCATGGATATAGCGTCCCTTGTGGCAGAGCAGCAGAGGTCTGGAGAATCCCTAATCAGAATATAGCTGAAAGTCTACTAAACGAAATTCTAGCTAATGGAAACTTTTACTATTGGTGAGAAAGATGGGATAAACCAAGGTTTAAACGTGAACTGCAATATTAAACTTCTTTTAAGTTTTGGGGTTGTTTTAAGTGAAATTTACAGAAACGCATCACTTCACTGGAAGCATACAGATTTTTTTTTTTTCCAGTTTACAAGATAGCTATTATTAGTTTTATAATTAAAGCTGAGTCTTTTTTCCTGTCAATTGCCAAGGCAATTCCTTGACATTTATTTTACTGATGTCTTCAAATTATTTTGACTTCTATACCAGCATCCAATTCCTCTTATTTCCTCTAAAAGCGTATTTGAAAAGCATGATGAAAAGAGTTAATAATTTATTAGATACGTAGCTTCTAAACAAATGCTTTAACTTGAGAATATAACTCAGGTGTCTTCTACACCACCTTGGTTTTTTCCTTTATAAAAAAAATGGATAGTATTTATAGCAAGGAACTAAGTTATAAACTCACCTTTATCTCTAAAACGATTCAATTTTATTCTTAACTTTCTTCACATTTCTGGCCAAAATTTTGAATTATATATCCCGCCATTAGTATTCGAACAGCATTAGCCAACTAAAATACACTCTTGAAATATTAGTAGTTTCTGCTGCAAATATTAATTTCTGATACATTTACTTATGTGTAAATATTTCCTCCTTTTTTGACTGAAAGTGAGTGGACGTGACTTTCCTTTTCCTCAAGTATTTTCAGACCATTATCTCTTGATAATATACTAGATAAGGATTTTATTATGAACATGTAGGAATTATCTACAACACCTAGAAACAATTTCAAAATAACTCCCTCTAAGAAGCAAACGAATGCACTCACACAGCAACTTCTGAATAGAAGAAAAAACAAAAAGCACTCCTTTGGTGGTGGGGGACAGTCTTCAGGTTTGCCTCAAACATGCAGACAAAAAAAAAAAAAAAAAAAAAAAAAAAAGCCATGTGCTTGCAGCCTTCCTCACATCTGTGTATATAAGCAGCCTTAGTGCTTAACTTCCATCTAGTTTTCAAGGGAGCTACGTTCCAAGTCCCACTGAAGGCTGCACATATTGTAACTATTTGTCTCTGTGCACAAACTTAATTTTTTTCATATGCACAGTCAAGTGATTCCCACTTGACTCAATACAAGATAAAAAATAAACACTGAAATAAAACATTAATAAAGGATTTTAGATTTTGATTACATAATGATGCACACTAATGGAAACCAGAAACTATATATATACACGTGTATATATGTATGTCTTTGTAATTGTTAGCCATATTGTATCTTTCTTGATCCTTCTCAGTCCCAGTCCGCTCCCAGGGCTGTGTTGATATGGGAGCTCCCATGTGCTACATCTCAGCATAGGAGGAGGAAATCTTAGTGTGTGGGCCATTCTTTTGAAAGGCTGCAGCAACAGGGACGGTTGCAGTGCCTTACTGTTTGCAGAGGGAAGAGAAATCAGCTGTTCGCTGCCTCCTCAGCTCTTCAATTCTTTCTTGGAAGAACTCCTGAGGTCTGAATTTGGCGTATAAGCTGCCAGTTGAGTCCTTATGTTATTTAGGGCTTTAATACACAAGCATCACCAGAATCACAGTATCTACCTCCTGTTTTATTTCTGGTACATACTACAATTACCAAGAGCAAGTTATGACCTTCCTATTATTTTGAACCAAATTTTGAAGATTCACGCCATCAGAAAAAAATCTCCTTGTAACAATGAAAATCATCAGCATTCTTAAAACGACAAAACAATGTCCCTGGAAGCATATGGGAAAACACAAAGACAGATGCTGCTACAATGGTAAAACCTTAAAATCAATGCTAAAGTGCTACACAAATGTGTAACAGTCAGTATCAAACAATTCAGCTTAAATATTGAGAAGAGGCAGAGCAAAAGAACTCTGAACTAAGACTAGCATATCACCCTTAACATGCTACTTGCAGTACTTTTAACATTTAGGTATTCACACCAATGTATACACAGTGGCACCTAAATTCTGTACTACCTGCAAAACTTTATCCCAAACTTATGAAGGATGCTCAATAAAGCAGAGTTGTCTACAACTTGGAACCTTCTGACCGAAGGTCATCTATGCAGCAAAGCTAAGTTTAATAAGGCTGAATTACTATAAGCAAGGGTTAACACCAAAGAAAAACTGAAGACTTACCACAGTTTTAACATACTACTTTGTAATTGGAATTAAATATTTACTGCTTAATTTCATACATTTCTCATTCTGTCAATTTTAGGCTAGTTCATTTACAGTTATACAGGGGACATCTAAATGACTAATATCTTACTCCAGACATTCAGAATAATTGGATTTGCCTCTATTTTTTAGATTTGCTCAATTACAGGGTGCTCATCAATCCTACATTTAAAAGAAATCCTTTATCCAACCTTACTTCTGACAAGTGACAACTAACAATGATTTAGGAAGAGATAATTTGGTCAAATAAAAGTCCTTTCAAGCAGACCCATATAAAGCATTAATACATATACATTAATTTAAAACTGAGCATGAATACCTGGAAAACTTTCTAGAAATGTATTACACTCAAAGTTTTTCATTCAACTGTCCATATCCAGTTGTCATCTCCAGGTTTCAGCCTTTACTGTTATTTACCACCAATGACAGAGAGAAAGATACTGTATTTCCAACCTTATCGTTACTTTACCAGTGAAGAACATTCCCTTTGAATAAAAGCATAATTGAAAAAAATGGCTTCCTTAGATAACATATTTGCAATGCAAGATGCCAATTATTAGCACTAATTTGGAAACAAGTTGTTAAGCAAAATTTTGTTTCATCTAATTAGGTGGGAGAAAGATAGGTGTTTATAGACTCACATACAGTACTTACACTTTCAATGTTACCAGAGTCAATTTTAAACCAGCATGTGAAAAAAATGAATACATTTAGATAAGATAGCAAGTAGAGATGAACCAATGAACAGCTACTGATAAAATCCCTTTACCTATTACTATTCTGTATACATACACACATATACATTTCTAATACAGTCATAACTAGAGGGAAGAAAAATTCATGTATGTATCTAGCCTGAAGAAAAATCTGTGGACTGGAATTCTAATGTGCAGGTTTTGATTCAAGTCTGAAGGTAAAATAATTCATAATGGATAGATAAATATGTAAGAATTGACTGTGAATTTAGCATCTTCACCTGTTGGAATTTATTGAGTCTCTGGGTTCAAACCCCCACCACAAGTGAGATTCCTTTTTTTTGTTGTTGCTGCTGTTAATAAGGAATGTCTCCATGCGATCAGAGTATTACATGCTTTTATTTAAAATCAAAAGGATATAGCAGGAGATGAAACAGTGTGGATTTATGGCAGTTCTGAGAATACTTGAAGCTATTAATCATTTTTCCTGGCTTACTCACCTGGAAGGACAGTAAACCAAAGTTATTCCTAACTATCATGTCTTAATTTCAGTGTTTTGTAGGCATTTTTAAGGACTTGATCTGAAAGTGCTTTCCAGAATTATGATGAAAGCATATAATTGATTTTAATCATATTCTTCCATTATCACGTATCAGTATATTTTCAGATGACTAAGATGGTTTCTGCCTCCTTTAATTTCTTTAAGTTACAGACAGCAACTAGAAGCTAGGCTTCCTAGACTGTAGCACAGATTGAGGTCAAGAGTTTACAAAAATACTTTTATCATTTAATCACAGTAATCAATCACTGAAATTAGATCTGTAGATATAGCATGAAAGGCTTCAGAGAAAGAAATAAACAGCTTGATCCAGAAGTGTTTAAAATCAATTAAATAAGGTTTTCATTTTAATTTGCTCTAATTTAAGAAAAGCTTTTAATTTAATTCCCACACTGTTTTAATTCTCTCCATTCTATGACCTAGTTACACCTTTTAAAAGGAAGTATTTGCTTAAGTCTCTCAGAAACGATGAATTAATATTACTCTGAAAGTGACATTTCATAGTGGGTGCAAAAAACGTGACCTTCATTCCCGTTCCAAAGTATGAAGAGTCTGTTTCCATTACTTTTCTACAAATACTGGAAATATACAGTGTTAAAATGCAATGTATTTCTTAATTCTTAGTTTACTTACTCTTTTTTTGCCAGACTTCTTCAGCTCTCTGAACTTCCCTTTTAATAACCTGTCAAATCATCTGCCAGTACCTTCAGTCCTTATGCCCTACTGTGTCACTCAACTTTGAAGTCAAGTTTCAAAATAACTTTAAGATGCACCCAACTGAATAAACAAACAATTTCAGAAGCAAGGAGAATAAAGATAAAAGCGTATCACAGTAATTCATTGCAACAAGATATAGGTAACTCCCTGGGCTTTTATAGGAGTAACTATTTATAAACTATTTAAATCTTTTACATAATATTACATTGCCATAATTATACACCAGCCAAAGGAGAGAGGCTCCTAAGAATCTTAAAAGATCAAATAACTTCAAATAAACTTCTGAACTCCACGAATCTTCACAAAGTCCTTCTGAAGTGTACTAGCCATCAGGATACACACTAGAAGATAGCCTATAATACAGCTTAAAACATAAAATTTGTGGGGCTTAAGTCAAAACAAAGACAAGAACACTTTATAGTTTAGATGTCATGGTATTTCAATGGAAAAGGAGACTTTGGTTCTAGCCTGCTCTCTAGACTGTTTAGAGTCTTTATTCAACGACTGCTGAACAGAAGATGCAAACGCCCCACTGAGCAAGGCTACGGAGTAAAAAAATTTGACATTCAGGGCCCGAGTGCTTTACCTTTGCCTATGCAAGTTCTGGGCAGTAACAGCATCACCTCCTTCTCCTCTGACATATCTGAATATAAACAGCTGCTGTGCTAGTTATTTTAAGGCTTAGAGGCATAGAGACAGAGCTCAGCTGCTCACTGCCTTGTCTCTGAGTCACATCATGTAGGCCGAATACAAGCACATAACTCTTCAAACTGGGTCATTTTTAGGTATATGTCAGTATCTGAACAACTCTAACACAAAAATGTTAGTGAGTGACTCATGTTTAGGCAACCAGTAGAGGATCTGAATTGACTTCTTTGACTTCAGCATCTAAATTCTGTCTATATACTCAAAGTGAGCTCCTCAGTTCTTTTCCTTACTAAGTATTAATTCAAACTATGAACCTACACCCAAGCTCATCCAAAATAGCATACAGAGGAAGATAATAAGTACAGCTGTAAGAGAGACTTATTTTGTCTTGTAATGCATTAGTGCAAGTATTTGTCATAGATCCCAGTAAAGATGATGTTGAGACTCCTTAAGGTATTGATTAAAATACCTTTTACAAGCGATCACATGGGGATATCCTAGATAATCTTACATCTCTTCAGATGCTGCAAAAGCCAAGTTGTGCAGCATCGGACAGACCTCTAGTCAGGGCATGGCACGCTGTGCGTATCCTGTCTGTAGTGAGGTCCACTGGCATTATAGTCTCTAGAGCTCTTAAGTTTTTCTTAGAAGTGAACAAGTCTGTTCATCATTTGTACTGTCAAGCAAAAGAATGTTCACATGAAAACATGCTGCTTTACTCCAAGGTAAAGACAAGGACATGCCAGTGGTATCACCACCAGGTGCCAAGTGAGAGCTGCCTACAGGCTTCTCCGTTACGATTAGCTGGCTAAGTTCATCCTGCAGCCAAGTGATATGTGCAGAACAGCACAGGCGTACACCTACTCAGGTCAACTGTTATGTGGATCACTAACTCCTCAATGTGCAATAGTCTCCCTGTAAGATCACTACATGCCCCCTCCCACCTAACACCAGATGGTAGCAATACAAAGTACTGGGAAAGCAAGTAATGAAGAAAAAAAAAAAAGGAGGAGAAAGATTACACTGACAAATTTAATAGGAAAGGTTAGAAGTTTCTTTTTTTTTGGGGGGTGGGGGTGTTTATTTCAGTTGAATTTGGACAATATAAAAATCACTGGGAAGTTATTAGGTGTATCTAAAATTCCTCGTTCTCAAAAGGGGCAAAACACTATTGCATTTTTCAGCAGAGTTACCAATCAGTGTTCACTCCATATGACAGCACAGAACAGGTTCCCCAACTCTCAGCAGCCTGATGTTACTAGCCAACACTGAAAGCTGAAGTCAGGATTTTACAGAAGATGAAGGAAAAGGAAAGGGAGAGATAATCAGCTCCCGTGATCCAGGAGAGACACCTAAAATGGTACTTCATACTCCACTCCCCAGCGCAATTCCCCACCAAGACTCACAGTCTGAGTCTATACAATTATGCATTCTGAATATACCATGTAAATGCATACCTTTTTAAAAGGGAAACATTTAGTAGAGATCAGGTCTTGTTCACTCGATAAAATGAATGAGATGCACTAAAATTAGTAATTTGTATGACTGATGATTGAACATGCATTTGATAGTCTTTATTTCTAGGTTTACATATACTCTACCTTCCAGATGTATTCTTTAGTATAGCAAGAGCATCCGGGTAGCCATCCATATTGTAATCTCCAATATGAAGTGTAATTGGAAATGAAATTTCTGTTGAAGATTTGTCAGTTTGATGTGGTACAAAGCCCCACAGCGTGTCTTTATTTCTGAAGTCTTGCAAGACTGGAATCCACTGTAAAATAAAGCAAAAAAAGAACAGCTAGGTAAGGAAATCCATTTTATTTATTTAAACAATTCTATTTAAAACAGCTGACACTTCTTCACTGCATCAGGATTCTTAACTATTTAGAAATTTCCAAAGAGGAAATAAGGATTATTTCTTAACTCTGTCACCAAATGAAACAATTAATTTGAAGTCTTTTCTATGCACTAAATTATTCCGGAACAGAAAAAAATAGATAAGGTTGTAAGAATAAAGGACCTGTGTTTTGGAATGTCTCCAGTGTACAGAGATATTCAGGAACAACTTCACTGAAATTCAGGCTTGCCTGGAATCCGTGCTAATCCTTAAGTGTAGATAAGCCCAAACCATCAAGGAAACCATAAAGTCCTGCAGGGGGGAGTAAACCCCTGCAGCGGTACAGGCTGGAGACTGACCAGCTGGGTAGCAGCTCTCCTAAAAAAGATGCGTGGGTCCTGGTAAACAGTAAGCTAAAGCTGAGTGTGGCAGCTATGACAGCAAAGAGCATACTGCACTGTAACTGCTGCCTATACTCCTGCTGACTAAAGCGAGTGATTATTTCTTTTTATTCAGCACTAGTTAGTCTGCATCTGGATCCTGTGTCCAGGTTTGTCCCCCAGGTTCAAGAAAGATTTGAGAATATTATTGAGCGTGTTTAGAGAAGGGTCACCAAGATGGTCAGTTGTTGAATATTTACTCAAAGAACAGGCTGAGGGCACAGAGCTTGTTCAGCGTCGAAAACAGAAGATTTAGGGGGGATCTAATAGTGGCCTTCTGATACCTGCAAGGAGATAACTGAGAAGATGAAGCCAGGCTCTCTACTGAGATACATGGCAGAAGAACAAGAGACAATGGTCACAGACTGACACAAGGGAGGTTCCAACCTTGTTTAGAGATAAACAAACAAAAGATTCACTATGATGATGATAATCAAACTAGGAAAGAGGCCCAGAGAAGTTGCAGAATCTTTGTCCTTGGGGGTTTTCAAAGTTTGACTGGACAAAGCTCTAAACAACAGGGTCCGAATTCAGTGTTGACTGCTTAAAGCAAGAGGCTGATCTAAGGTTCATTTCAGCTTGAATGATTCTATTATTCATGGATATTTAGAAGTTCAGGAGCTTCAATTCCCCTTCTATCTTCCCAGCAGCACCAGATACTGAACTGTTTGGTAAGAAATTAAGATTGCAGTATCAAATTGGAAGTACAAAAGAAATGCAAAGTATAATTTCTCCAGGTCGCGAAATAGAATGTATCTGCACTTACTTTCCACAAGGTGTTGCAGAGGTGCTAAACAGGAATTTATCTTAATTAAAATCAAAGTAATTTCACAAGTTGGTACCAAGCTGAAGCACCGGGGTTAACATTTCAATGCTACAGAAAATTCAGTGCCATTTTTAAAGCCAAAAGTAATTTTATATGTCAACTAACTAACAATGCCTTCAAAAGGACAGAAGGGTGCCATCTTAAAGGATCACTATCACCAACATCAAAAGCACTTAGCAGCATCTTAAATGTCTCTCATCCAAGCCTTAATTTAGCTATTTCAGGAACCAGAATGTGATCCCTGACAGCAGCATTTCCTGCTGTGGAGAGACTCCCTCACTGTCCAGTAATCAACAACATTCCTGCCACATGGCAATTGTGTGCGACACATGCACTGGTCCCTTGAGATTACATACAACCACAAGCATATTAGAGAAGCCCCCAAAATTATTAAAAAAGTGCACTAAAGCCAACTTTGTTTGGATATCACAGATGGCTTAGAAGCCTGGAACAGTTCTGCCAGACACTGCATATACTTAGTGCAAGTCTGCCTGTGTAAGTGACGACATTTGAACTGCAACGATGATCTACAACACTCTTGATGAAAACTCAAAGTTGAAATTAAACATACTTTGACCCTTGCCTCCCCCCCAACGTATGCATGCCTATTTAGTTACTGTTAGCTGCTGAAGGTTTGAAAAATCTAAGAAAAGAAACAGAAAATAAGAAAAAGACTCAACCTGAGGGAAATTTTTCAAAGGGTTAGATTTCTTAGCACTTATTTGTCATGCAGAAGACAGATGAAACAGTATTATTGCAGAATACTGTAATTTTGAAAAACACTGATTGAAATCAGAACCACGAAATATAATACAGTTTTTACTTTACATGGTATCATTCACACAGTCATTGCAATAGAATCCGGTTATATCCATCATATACTTTCTAAATGTTCCCATGTATGGTAACGCTATTTTGAAGAAACAAAATTAAAAACAAATTTTTAGGCACAAATCCGAATCTGTATTCTGTTTTTTACTCTACTCAAAGAGTGATTCATAGAAAGTGATTTTAGAATCATAAGGTCTACAATGAAATGCAGAGATATAAAACAATGGGTGAGCAACACAGAAACATCACCTATTGCTACCAAGTACGGTACAAAGTAAGATTCATCCATCTCACTGAACCTTGTGGGACTTTTTATAACAGCAGTTGTAGAACATTTCACAAATATCAGTCTTGTTCGATGTGTAACCAGAGCACATTCTAGCACCATACGTAACTTACTCTGATAGTTTAAATTCAGAGTAATCCACACTTCTGGTGAAACTCATTCTGTATATTTCTATTCTAAACAGCAATTCTAAATTGTTTATTTGCCTCAGGACATACACTTCAGTACAGAAGACAAAAAATGAAAATATGCTTGTCAGTAATATAGAACTCCTACTTCTTTTGTATTTATTAATCCAGACAATTACTTTAAGCTTCATGTTTGCTGTTACTATCTTAACAGGAAAAAGACTAAACCTAATATTTTTTTCTACTTTAAATCAGAAATAGGTGGGTATAAAGAGGACGCATAAAGCTATTTTTTGCAGTTTTCTGATGACATGATTTCTGTTACCTAGCTCAGATGGAAAAACAGGTTGAAAAATGGAGTAAGTGTTTCTAAAAGAAAATTTAAATGAACACATAAAATTCAGAGAAATCAAAGATTTACTTCTTCCCCTTCTGTTAAATTCCATTGCATAGCACCACTGATGTTATTACTTAAAACATTTATATAGATATTTTTACTCTTTCAATTAATGATTTTGTAGACTAAAGTAAGAAAAATATCTTTAAGTGCTTTAAAATTTGTTTTCAAACTCTTCAAATACTTGTTTTTCAACAAGTAGAAGAGAGAACGCTTTATTGCCCTATGAAAACAACATGTTTTCCATTTTGAAGATGATCTTGGGTACTTGAGAAAAATTTAAAACTAGTTGCACTCATCCCACTTAACTAAAAAAGGGCTCATTTCTTTCAGAGTTCACATTCTTATATACATTAGGAAAGGCTTTTTTTTTTCTCTAAAGCCTGTTAACAGGTCTTTGAGCCAGAACTGTGGGATTAACACATCTCAATTTTTAAACTGTGGACAGAAACCTATGAGGCACAAAACCCCCACCCAGCCAGCTACCCACTTCCAGGCCACCTAACACAGGCAGGGAGCCAGCTGTGAGTCACAAAGCATTTGGAAATTGGTAGCCCACTCTTGGCCAATACCTTTTCTGGAAATGCCAGAATGCTCCTTTCTATGACAAACACTATCCCATCCTATAGAAAGATGAGTATCAAGGGTGGCCTAAAACCTGGCCACAGCAACAGAAGTCCTTTTCCCTGAGGGCTCCCCCTCTACTGTACATCTGCATTGTAGTTCAGCTGCACATAAAAAATAAATCCAGTGATTTCAGGATGCATTAGGCTTTCAGTGGGTACGAAGGTCACCTGAATTCCATATACAGTCGAGTAGCCACTACTGCATAAAAGTTAACTAAGTAAATTAGTAAACACATTACACCATTAACTTCCGGTATTCAAAGCTCAGAAGACTACAATCCCCAACATTGATTTAACAGCATAGAAAAAAAGTAACCAAAGCAGTAAAAGCCATATTTTTGATGCTGGAATGTGGCTCACAGCCCCACAGCTGCTTTGAGAAAGACGAGCAACTTAGAAATGATGAGAGGATCTTGTAGAATCTGAGATTTACAAAAATTACAGCAGCTGCAATTCCCCCCCTCCTCCCCCCTTAAAATGTTATAGGGGAATGAGGAAAAACTTCTAACAGTGACCAACTCCAGCTGATAATCAATGCTGTCAGATATACCTCTCCAGCCTAGAGAATGACACCACTAAGATCTGTGGTTTGCTGTAGGACGCACTGCTGTGTTCTACTTCAGAGCTGCTAGATTTTTAAGAGGAATAAAGCTACAACCTTTCTATTGTACAGAGAAAAGTTATAAGAATCATCAAGCCCACAAAGAAACTCTCAAATGAAGGGACTGAAATAATACCGTTTGCCTTAGGAAAAAAATGAAAAATCATACTGAATATGTGGCAAAATTAAAAGAAAGATTAGTCATCTCTAAGAATATTGTAATATCTAGAGTTTCTACAATGAAGAGTACCAGGGACTTTAAAACAAGTTTCAGGGAGAACTCAGTCTAATTTTCAGAATCTAGATGAGAGATCTGAATCAACTAGCAGATGAGTCTATAGCTATTTGCAGGTGAATTTAAAGAAATCTGAGGTGTCCTAACACCTGCCACAATCTGAAACAGCGTATGGGATGTGACTTCAGATCTGACAGCAATTCTTCTGTTGCTATGGAAACATTCACATTCTTTAAAAATTTTAGTAGGTCTGGATCTCCTTAAGTCACTTATATGTATTTTGCTGGCCTTTAGTTTTGCTCCATCATCCAAAAGAAGAAAATTTATCGAGATTTTTCTAATACTTATAAAGATTAAATCATTAAATAAATAAAAACCTATGGTGAAAGATCATCCTTGGAATAATTCTCCTAGATCTGCTTGGCTTTCCAGTAGTCATCCAGCTGTGCCAAAGACATAATGAGAAATATACTACAGACTGACAGACATCAAATAAGATCTTACCAGAACAAATCCAAAGCCTGACATGCCATTGCATGCCTCTCCGCAGCATAATTTTTAGAACCACAAATTCTACAGGTGCATATTTCTGATTGCTATGCATTTCATCCCAATGCATCATACACTATCATGGAACTGTGTTAACTGTTTTTAATTTGGTTTCATCAAACGTCAAAACAAACAAGCAGGAAGGACAGAACCAGGGCCAGTTACCGTAGGCAAAATATTTTTTGTAAGAAGGCCATCTAATTTGTGATCTTTCGGATCTGAGATTAGTAAGTTTAAAAAAAAAAAAACAACAAACAAAAAACCCCGAAAAAACCCCAGGGGCTTAGCTACACTCTTAACTAACACCCCCCCCCCCCACCCCCTACAGCAAAAACTGAATAGGGGTAATGGATATATAGCATCTTCTATGTTTTCAATAATAGACTTGCAATCTCTCAGTTTCCCATAGATTCCCTATAATTGCCTACCTGTTCCACAAGGGATACCACCCCCTTGTTGAAACACATTCTGCACCACAAGGGCTCATTATTATTTCCCTCAAATTGTAAAGTGATTAAATAAACAAAAGGAATTGATCCTAGTCTGTTGCCATTTCTCATGAAGATTAGCTTATTTAGTCAAAGCTCAGAAATTGGGTCATCTGATCTCACAATGACCAAATTCAATGAAACTAAAACATTTCACTTCCAAATAAATATGGGAAGTAACGTTTGAATAGATCTCTACCTGAAGAAAACATGCAACACATGGGAAAAACTAAAGACGTATGAATGAAGATACTAATGTTTTCCACTGGTTCAGAATGGAAAAGATAAAATGCTTTAGAAGAAAAAGCTCCATCACCTCTAGATGAGTCTAAGAGTGCAAGAAAAGAATATTCTACATATAATTCTTTAAAAAGGTTAGGCCAGAACAAGTCATTATTGCATGCCATTTGATACTGTCATTTTCAATTAAAAAGTCATTCTAAAAATATGCAGGGAAAATTGCTTTAAAGTTTCTAAGTAACCCTTAATACTTTTTAATACTTTTTTCCTAGCAGGATGAGAGTCTGTTGGATTCTTCACTTTTTAAAATAAAATGACAATATTTGGCTGCTAATTTTTTAAGTCAAATGTCATTTTCTTGGAAGTCCTTTTAAAATTGAAACTACACAGTGAAATTGCTAAATTAAGTATAAAAATTAAATATACTGATGAGTATCAAAAGTAGCATGTTAAAAATCTGGTGTGTTAGTAATGAAATAGTTGATCTCTGTCAAAAAAATGAAATAATGAAGGAACAGAAAAACGGTCTTCGTGCAATGTTACTTCAGAGCAGGTTACAATAAAAGACCCTACTTTGGCAAAATTCTGATATTATGCAGATTGACCCACACCTTCCTCTGCCACTACTGCATCACTTCCTTCTAGAAACATACCATAAACAAAAGATAATATAACTTCTCTTTAGCACACTGCCCAGTCATCCGCTACTGTCAAGTAACAGCTTTGCATCTCTCACTGGTACATGCTATTTGTGTATGGTTGATTTTCTACAGTGATCATTGAGAATATTTGTCTCAAATTTACTTGAGCAGAAAAACCTCAAATGTCTTTTATTTCTTATATTATCAAGAGTAAGGAACTAAATTTAGAGCTAAAGAGCAGTAGTCTTTTGACATAAGAGCACTCCAACTACTCAACAGTGAAATGTAAGCAGCCTGTTACAGCAATATAACCAGCGTAACATACCTATCAAAAGCCTGCGTTCTCCCCTTTGACCAGAAAGCAATGCAAGTATCATGAATTGAGCACCACTTGCTTTATACAAAGGCTATGACCTGTAAGTCAAACTCTACTGTAACACTGTGTATCCAGCAACACTATAATCCATTGCCTCTATTCTGTGTTCACAAAGAATGTTAAAAAAACAAAACAAAAAACACCAAACAAACAAAACCAAAACAACCCACAACCAACCAGCCACAGTCTGCACAGGAAAACATACATTTCCAAGAACAGAGATGCCAAGATTAGAAGGCTGAAAGAGATACATTACCAAATTTAGAGTTACTTACTCTTTCTTACACAGATGGTATATTCCATCCTGGTTATACTTCCTTAACTGACTCGTAACTGTGTGCTTTCCTTTCCAATACAGAGTGATTTTCTTGCTAGTAGGAAAATATGCTATAGCCTATCTAGAAATTCTGATTCTTTAAACGAGAAAATCTACACTATAAACTTGTGCTGCAGACAGTAACAAGAAGCATCTTATCAAAGTATGTACTGTTCCTTAAGGAAACAGTACGTTCACCTATAAATTCTGAAATATAGATCAGAGAGGGTACTACTTACACAAAAAAATTCTACTTTGGTCAGTAAAGGAATACTCAGTAATTCATAACCTGGTTAGAAACATGTATAGCACACATTACAAATTTCTGTAAGTACACTACAGTGGGTTTTGTTGTCAGCTATAAGCAAGTACTTTATAGGTCACCTTGGCCTTTAGGTTCACATTGCTAAATATGAATTTAGTAAAAACATTTATTAAGGCATCAAACAAACATTAGGTTAATTTATTGTAAGCTGTAACTTTATTACAAAGCAGGGCACTGTAAATACTTAAAACAGATTAGCACACATTTTAAAATAAATTAATACACAGTAATCTATTACATGAATTATGACCATGTCTCTCAAAACAAGTAGTGTTGTGAACAAAGCTGATATAGTTTAATAGAAACCCAGTCCTGAAGATACATAGCCTAAACAAATCTTCATATACCATTTGGAAATTTACTTAATTAATAACAATCAAAGACACAGTAGAAATAAGGGGGAGGAGGTGTGGGCTGGTTCAACTTGAGATATATATATGTGTGTGTGTGTGTATATATATTTATATATATATTTTTTAACTTTAAAATCACTCCCTAACATAAACTGAAGAAGCTTATTTGAATGAATTAGATCTCTTTCCAACTCTTAACACAAGCCTTGTTTGTCATATTGTGCTAGGGCAGTTATGATGCTTAGAATGCACTGTTTTGCAATCAAGCAAGTGACTCATCAGAAACATCCATAATTTTCTTGAGTGGAATTATCCTTTATATAGAATTCTAGGTATGCAACCTCTTCCACCAAACCCATATTTTTTTAGATAGGTAATAAATAAGTAAATAAATAAAAGTCTCTTATCTGCAATAATTACAGGTGAGGAAGTTTCATTTTTCTTTCCTGAAAAATCATTTTAATATTTCATATTCTTTCATAAAGTATTTTCCTTTGTCTTTGCAATTCCAAACTCACAATACCTGATCCAATCCTAGCTTAGTTAAGTAGATGGCACTTTTTTGACATTTTCTATCTTCACAGACTGGTAATAAATGTTCACTTTGTCCGTCCCCATCTGTCAAAGAGAAAAAAAGACTGTCAGCTTTGTATGTGCAAAATCAGAAACCCTGTTTGCAAGAGATAATCAGCTATGAATAATTTATTTTTTTTAAATGTGAAAAATTACATAAGATAAACTAGACCTTTTCAAAATCCTTAACCTAATCACCTAATTCGGGTCTTTCATTTGAAGATTGTCTTTGTTGATGCATTTTCATCTTGACCCATAATATATAGAAAGTTTTAAATTTTATTTCTGACGATAATGTGGTATATTTAGAAAAGTGCTTAGTAATTTACTCGATCCCTGTGTTTAGTTTGGAAGAAAATTAACTTTTATATAAATCTACCATACAAACTTATTTAATTTTCTAAACTAGTTTTAAAATCCCGTGCTGTCATGAGTTCACATGTAATATGTTAACCTATATTAAGAGATAAAAAACAACACTGGGAAGTTGACTAACACAATAGCTAATACATTCCAGGCTTACAGAATTAGGCAAACCTGAGTAATTTACAGGTTTTCAAAAATGTTCTTCAAGCACCTTTAATCCATGTATTCCCAAAACCTTTAGTAGAATAATGACCTTTTAATGTTTAAACAATGTCTATTTGCATCTACAATTCTGACACACAGAGCATATAAGGCGGGGGGGCGGTGGGAAATCAATTTACTGCTCATTATCTACTCCAGGAGAAATCCCTGTGTTCACATTTTGACCTTGCAGCCCTGCCTAGCATACTCAGAAATACACCACCCTCCTACGAAGAGATAAGCCACCACAAGTTACCTTGTATGGGCTGAGAAGGAAGAACAAAGTAGTAGTTGAATGTAAGCAGCCAAAAACCAGCAGCCAGAATTGCTGCATTAATGACTACCGCTGCCAAGTCCTGATTATAACTACACTTGACCTGCTAGAGAGATCGTATGCCCCAGCCCAGGAAAATTTCAGGGAATCTGCTTTCCCAGGCTATGAAATCAAAGCTTATACTGTAATAAAAAAATTCGTTTTTCCAAATTGCCCCTTAGCCCATGCAGTTCTGAGGAGCTTGGTATTAATATTTTAAGTGGATTTTGTAAAGTTACTTGACGAAGTCTCCTTAGCTAATATGCAAAAACTAGATCATCTGCGAAAGTCACTGAATCTCCTACTCATTTCCCAATATGCTACTGACCACAGCCTAAATGTTCCATCATACTTTACCCATACTATAAGAAATGCCTTCTCAGCCTGCCAAATTATATTTTTATGAAGCTGAACCTCCTTTTAGTGTGTGTGTATTTATCTATCTATGTATAGTTAAGTTTTCTAGGTCCTTCCCTTATTATGTAAGGGAGTCAGGAGATGGAAAGGTTATAAGGCGGAGGAGGAGTGATGAAAATATCAGACTTCCCCAAATATCTCCAAGTGATAAAGCCAAACAGTCACCTTTAGTGGCTTCCTACATCCCATCTGCCTCATGAATTATTCTACCTCACCACTAACCCCTCCCAAATTATCACGGCAGCTCTGTTATCAAGGATAAACAATTTGCTGAGTAGCCTAGGTGGTAGAAATCCAGTCAGTTTGCATGCAAAGAGATGGGAAAGGAAACTACCACTGAATAGAGAAATTAACATAGCAACTATTGAATTTGACCAGTCTGAAATCAGCACCAATTTTTGAAGCCGTTTGTTTTCCTTCTGCATCATTCAAGAACAACAACTAAAACATGTTGCTCACTTTAATTTTTGCTTACATGAACTAGAATAAAATACTGTTTAGACTGCAGTCTTTTTCTAAACTTAAAATGGGAGAAACTGTTTAATTTGCAAATTATAAACTATGGAAACAGAATTGGTTGACAGAATTAAGTTGCAGAGATGTAGGTGTTTTGTGAAATAAAAAATTTAAATTAAACCCTAATCTTCTAATCACATTCCTACAGAAGTTTCAGTCTAAAGTAATTTTAGAAGATTTTCAATAACGCATGAGGACAAAGAATCTTCAAATACTAACTTCTTTTCTTGCTCTTTGTTAGTTAGAAAGGGACAAGGACAAGGATGTTCTCATTTTAAATTATGCTATGGAGCAGAGGAGAATATAAAATGTTTGATTCTACTTAAATTGCAAACATTCATCTTGTTATGCTGATGACTACGCATAACTGAGTTTGATAGTTTTGGTAATTAATGTTCAGTAATACTGCAGTATATTGGCAAGAACAACCTACGTAGCTTTGAAGAATAATGAAACTATAGGGCAGTAAGAAGGATGGAACTTTCACATAATTGGATATGAAGCCACCATCTTGCAGATGCAAGTGTTTTAGATAAATTACAAGTTTAAGAGTAAGATTTGATTAAAATAATTCAGTACAATCAATGAATGAATAGAAGGTAAATATGCATCAAAAAACACACCTTTGCCTTGCAACTGAAAATAACATTATACATATTCCATATTAGAAGGACACAGTTTCCCCATTTCCTTTGACCAGAACCTACAGGACCATTTATGTAACTTTTATTACAGGCTCAGCTGCAATTTCTCTTCAATTCTGTGTAACATATATTTAAGAATCCAATAGTTAAAAATTAAATTTGTAAGAGAAAAATCTATAGCACAGTTTTAAGAAAAAAGTTTATTTTTAAAATAAATTTTGTCAAAAAAACCCTGAAGACAAGGAGTCTGACAGGCCATTCTTAAGCTCACCTAGATCTCAAATTATTGCTGTATCCACCCTCCAGAAGTTTTTCAGATAGAGATATCATAGAATCATAGAATCATTAAAGTTGGAAAAGATCATCGAGTCCAACCATCAACCCAACACCACCATGCCCACTAAACCATGTCCCTAAGCGCCTCATCTACACGTCTTTTGAATACTTCCAGGGATGGTGACTATCTTATGAATACTGGACTGTTGGGTTTGGGTTTTTTGGGGTTTTTTTTGGTTGGTGTTGTTTTTTGGGGGATTTTTTTGGGTGGGCTTTTGTTTTGTGAAATAAAAAATTTAAATTAAGCCCTAATCTTCTAACAGCCCCCTCACACACACACACTCGGTGCTCAGCTGAATTTAAAGATAACAAAGAAATGAGATATAAACATATTAGTCCAACAAATTAGTATAATTACATTTGTCTTAGGCATAGATGTCCAAAACTACGTTTTAAGCTAAGTTTGTGTGTTGTTGTAAATTTTCAAATCCTTAAATCAGTTAGTATTTTAAAATTAATATTTTAATAAAATCCATTTTATATGGCTCTGCAAAACTACGGCTTTACAGTATGACACTTTATTTTGAAGTGATATAGGCTGCGGGGGTTCAACTAAAGGTGACCACGTGGTGAGGTGATTGAGGATGCTGAGCTGTTTAAAAGCACTTCCATTTCCTTCCCTCCTCCTCAGAAGCGCATGGCTCCCACCAGCTGTTTTAGCTCTAAAATGGCTCACTGTGGAATCAGGTAAGAATTAGCACCAACACATCGGAGAAAGTAGAAAAATAGGAGCAGGGAAAGGAAAGGATAAGCTTGGACCACATAAATATTGATTTATAAGTGTTTAACATGTTGCCTAACTGCCTTCACAGTTGAGCACAGAAACCCAACCAACTTCAAAAGCAGGTATTAGAAAGCAGAATCTAAATAAAAGCACCTCCTTTGAAACTTCTTCATGTGGCTCCTAAGTGTAGAGTTTTCCATGCATTTCGTATTCACTTAAAAAAAAAAAATTAAGTAATTCATATGTAGCTTTTGACGTGGTACCTGATTCACACAGAAATTACCTCCTGACATTTATTTGTCATGCTGGATGATTAAAGTACAGCTGAAAGTATTTTACCTATTATGTGCTTAACACATAGCACAGAAGAAGATTATTTTTGAAAATAAGGTATTTATTTAGACATAATTAAAAATTAATGTTTTATATACTGCGAATGAGAATTGTACCTATTACTGCTGACTAACACAATGACCAAGAAGAACATAGCAAAGGAAAGCTGGAACAACTAGAGCATCAAACTTTCCAACAAACATTTGTAACATTTACAGTATATGTGCTAATAGGCACTTTATAAATCTGCCTCACTGAAGAACTTCATAACTGGTAGCATTTTTCATCCAAAAGAAAGGGTTAGGTACATATTCGTACTGTAGAGCAGGCAAAACAAATTTTAAACTTAAAAGGCATCAAGTGAAGCACCAACAATGAGAATGTAGCTGGAAATAGTACATCAATGAAACAAGAATATCTTCTGAGTCGTAGCAGAGTAGTTTAAGAAAACCCACAATTAGTTAAATACTGTATTACAGAAAAGTAGCAATCAAAAGAAGTCCAACATTCTTCATCTCTATCATACTATCACCTCTTATTTCTCCTCTAGTTTTTATTTCTAATGCACATCTTAGGATGTGCAGATCCATCTTTTACTGTCGAAGTTATTTGATCAAAAGCAATTTTCTGAAGAAAAATCAGAGATTGCCAAAAAAAGGTAATACACATGTTACAAATTAACTGCAGCATTTATCGTTTTTGACAAACAAAATAAGGATAAAACCCACCTAGAATATCGGCTAAAACTGTAGAACAATTTATTTAAATGCAAATGTTGCATCATTCATTGTTCAAAAAGCCCAAGAAAATAAACCTCCCCCAAAACCAGCCTTAAGCACATGCTTAAAGCAGAATCTGTTTCACTATCCATTGCCATTTTAAACTGTCCTCATCTGTAATAACTAGAAATGCAATGTTTCCTGTATTTCTGAAGCTTTTTCAAAGGCACTACGTGAAACCAACAAATTGATACAGCAGTTTTGAAAGAAAATAATTTATTCTTAATCCTTACGTGATTCCTACCTTGGGAGGACCCACTGAAATACAAACCTTTGGCACAGCTCTACTGATCTTAAGACCACACAAAAAAACCCCCACCAGTTGCTCACAGAAGAGCTCAATCTCACTAACAACAAATTTACCTTGGACCTACAATGCTAACTCTTCTCATCTTCATGCTTGGTTTCAATCTCAA